GAGGTGTCCAGCAACGACGAACAAATGCGCCTGTGCTACATGAATATGCAGTAACATGCATTGCTGGCATACAACACATAACGGATAAAGAACATAAACGCAAATACATCAAATACATACTTGTACGTCATAAATTTTACAAAAGGTGATTTGCACGAAGACAGCGTATACTCTCATACGCCTGGTGAGCTAAATAGAAGTAGTCATCTGAGCAGAAGATTCGATGATCAAACGCGTACACCCAAGGCCAAAACGTTCGCTACCATAGCCTACGAAAAAATCATATAACATCACAGGATAGCCACAATACGCACTACTTTCAGCCTCCAATCATGCTACCGAGGTAATCGCATACGTGCAACCGGCTTGACCGGCTCCATCACCACAACCACATAGTACACTTCGAAAGCACAGGCCAATGTACGATTCAAAGGCAAGTACTCGCCGGCAATAGCATGTGTGCAATTGTGGTTGTACATACTTACTTGTAGTCATGACACACTTGCACACACTTACTTGTAGTCATGAGGGAATTTTTCCTTCTCGCGGAATCCCTTCAGCCGCCCCTCTTTCCTGCGTTGCTCTCCCGCCGCAATTTGTTCAGGCGTCAGTGGGCGAATACCCATGAACTTCGACACCAGCGATGACACACTTTGGTCTGTCACATGTAGCTGTAGTGGTATTCAAAGCATATGTGTGATTGAGCGCAGTTTGTGATACTATATTTGTTCTCATTCATTCATGTTCTACGTTACCCGTGTGCGACGACACCACTGATGTCACACTTTAGTCTGTCGTCATATGTAGCTGTAGTGATATTGATGACATACTTTGGCGTGCCACATATAGCTGCAGTAGTATGTTCGGTACGTTTGCTCACGTGTAGTGATTACGGCTGTAGTAGTTTGAAAGATGTGTATGATTGGACGTAGTGAGTGTGGCTGCAGTACTATGTGTAGAGTGTTTAATTGAGTTTAGTGAGTGTGGTTGTAGTAGTTTGTATGATGTGTATGATTGGTCGTAGTGAGTGTGGCTGTAGTACTATGTGTAGTGTGTTTGATTGCGTGTAGTGAGTGTGATTGTAGTAGTTTGTATGATGTGTATGATTGGCCGTAGTGAGTGTGGCTGTAGTACTATGTGTAGTGTGCTTGATTGCGTGTAGTGAGTGTTGCTGTAGTAGTATGATGTGTATGATTGGACGTAGTGAGTGTGCCGTAGTACTATGTGTAGTGTGTTTGATTGCGTGTAGTAAGTGTGGTTGTAGTAGTTTGTATGATGTGTATGATTGGTCGTAGTGAGTGTGGCTGTGGTACTATGTGTAGTGTGTTTGATTGCGTGTAGTGAGTGTGGTTGTAGTAGTTTGTATGATGTGTATGATTGGATGTATTGGGTGTGGCCGTAGTACTATGTGTGGTGTGTTTGATTGCGTGTAGTGAGTGTGGTTGTAGTAGTTTTTGTGGTTTTTAGCATTGTGTGTAGTGATTTTGGTTGTAGTGATATGTGTGGCACTATTGGGTGTAGTGAACGTGGCTGTAGTGGTATGCATGAAATGGGTAAAGTGAGTGTGGCTGTATTTGTTCCGAATTGTTCATTTGTCAAGACAACTGTGTACGACGACACCAGCGTTGACAAACTTTGGTGTGTCATACGTAGTTGTAGAGAAGCCTGATACGTGTCATCATGAGATAGTGATGCTGTGCTTGTGATTGTGACTGAGACTGTGATTGTGATTGCGATTGTAATTATAATTGTGTTTGTGTTTATGTTTTGTGTTTGTGTTTGTGTTTGTGTTTGT